GCCTTGGAGACTTCACCTACAAGCAGAAAGATATCTTGTATATCTGCCCCTCAGAGACTTCAACTTCCTAGCTTGGCGATGCTGTAAGGATGCAAGGTCCGCTTAAGTGATCATTACCCGTCCAGGTCCTTCCCATTCAGTCGGCTCCCACCCCAATCTGAACTACTAAGACTCCAACTGAGTGCACCAGGCATGGAGTTTATGGAATCTTCACTGCAGCATCAGACCAGACCCTCCAGGATGGGTCTGAGCTCTGCTTGGCACCAGAATCCTTCCAAGGGGTCATCCAGTCCCTATCTGATCACACCCTGAGCCAGGAAGCTCAATGCTCCTGTGGTACCCATTCATCTTTAGTAAGCTCTGACCCGATGGAAAGTTCTTCCAGGTGTAAACATCAGAGTGTTTTTGCCACAGACAGAAAAGAAAGTAAAGAGTCAAGAGCAGTGGGCTGGTCTCTCCCATAATCCCTCCAACAAATGCTCCCATTGTAGCAGCTTTCTACACCACTTTACAATGTAATAGACTGACCTAACATTTGGTAAGATTACAATGAAAACATGTGAGTGGACAGAGCTTGGAAGCAAGGCTAGAAAAGATGGTCAAAGAGCGAGGACTTCTTGGCTCCTCACCAGCCAGCGGGAAGGATCTCTCTCACCCATGTTGCGATCAGCCACACCTGTGGTCCACGCCGTTCATTTCTGTTGTCTCCACTGGTTTCTTGAGAATAAGCTAAATCTCATTTGCACATTAAAATAACTTTTTTTTTTTTTGAGACAGAGTCTCACTCTGTTGCCCAGGCTAGAGTGAATGTCGTGGCGTCAGCCTAGCTCACAGCAACCTCAAACTCCTGGGCTCGAGTGATCCTCCTGCCTCAGCCTCCGGAGCAGCTGGGACTACAGGCATGCGCCACCATGCCCGGCTAATTTTCTCTCTATATTTTAGTTGTCCAGCTAATTTCTTTCTATTTTTTTAGTAGAGATGGGGGTCTCGCTCTTGCTCAGGCTGGTCTCGAACTCCTGAGCTCAAAGGATCCGCCCGCCTCGGCCTCCCGGAGTGCTAGGGTTACAGATGTGAGCCACCGCGCCCGGCCTAAAATAACTTTTTGTAAAGTGAGATTTAAAATGATTTTCCACTTTTAAAAGCTTACGATATGGCCATTGTTTTCTGTGAGCTTGTGTGAATTTTATTATTATTGTCATTTTCGTCTGATTCAGAAGTATATCATAAGTTTTTGGGTAAGGAAAGGAACTTAGCCCTATGACTTGTTCCCTCACTACGCCAGAAGTGAAAGTTGACAGAAGTAGTTTCTGAGGTTCAAAACTAAAAACTTTCCTCTAGTTTATCCTTGATTCCTAGTCATTACCCTCTGAGAAAACTTCTTCAACAAGCTAGGATTCAACCCAACCTAAGCATCAGCCAGCCCACATATTTTCATCTTGCTGACACAGATATAAGAAAATGTTCTCTCTCTCTCTCTCTCTCTCTCTCGGAGCTGGGACACTCTCTTCCTCTTGCTCTTGAACATCAAAACTTCAGACTTTCTGGCCTTGGGACTGAGAATTATACCATCGCCTCTCTGGTTGGGAGGCCTTTGGATTTGGACTGAGCCATGCTACTGGCATTCCAGGGTCTCCAGCTTGCAGACAGCCTGAGTTAGGACTTAGCCTCCATAATCACATAAGCCAATTCCCCTAATAAATCCCCTCTCGTATGTACACATCTATATCTCTCTACATCTGTATCTACCCTATTGGTTCTCTCTCTCCGAAGCACCCTGACTAACACACCTGATGTTTCAGCAGGCCTTGTGAACGAAGGATCAGAGCTGCTCCATAGCATTGCACGTAGGGTATGGTGCCACCTCAGAGAAGAAGTCTCCGTGGCATGGTTAGGCACAGGTCTTCCCAGTCAGCAAAATTTCTCATTGTCCATAAATAAGCAGATAATTTCTTGACATCAAATGAGCCCTGGAAATTTAAACACATAAAATTTTAGTAGTGACCATGTTTGATGCATTAAAACTGCTTGTACCAATTAAATAGCATACAACTATCCCATATTCTAGAATGGAAATTGGGGGTGACTTTAATAATCAATAATATGGATTTTTCCATAGTATAATATATGAGTGCTCTTAATCAGCATTATGTCAACTTAAATAACTTATATCTGAGTTTAAAAAAGAAAGAAAGAAAATGTCCATTCCAGGAACTCTGTTGACCACATGCCTGTGAGCATTGGTCCCATCACCAGATCAGAAAAGTATGATTTCTCATATATTATCATTTAACTTTTTGTGTGCCTGTCTTCTGTCCCAACAAGACACTAAGCATCGCAAGGGGGTGGATCTTGTCTTGTTCATTGAATTGCCCCATTGGAAGAGCCCCTGCCTACCTCTCCAGCCTGGTTCCTCACTTACCTCTTTGTCGGAGTGGGTGTGGCCTTGCTGTTTCTAGAATTTACTGGGCCCTTTCACATATCACTGCCTTAGCACTTAGCTTCTGTCTGGCTAGAATGCCCTTTTCTCCTTCCCTGGATTCATTGCTGATCACAGGTCAAATTTCTGTTGACCCGTTCATTCCCTCCAGGACACCTTCCCTGATTCCTCCCACCATGCCTTCATTTTCACCCTAGCCCTTGTCACATTTTGTATTTGTATCTTCACACACTCCACAAAGAGTTCCTTGAGGGCAGAGGTGTCTTTTCTGCCTCTTTGGTGCTTGCCAAATTCCTCGCGCTTCGTATGTGCTTAAATATTCCCCTCTTCCCCAAGTTTGCTCTCACCTATTTCAAGTGGAAGGAAACTTTGCAAACTATAAAGTGCTACCGAGTGATTATTTTCCTGGCTTCTTGCGGAGGAAGAGGCCTGGGCCTCTCTGAGCTTGTATACAACTTTCTTCAGGGTCTTACCCTTCCTCTTCCAGGTGGTCTGGGCTGTTCTGAGGCCTCAGCCCTTGTCTGTTCAGAAATTGGGTGTGAGGAGAAGGGACTTCGCCAACTCTCAGGGAGATCGCTGGGCTAGCCATACATTCATTCCTTTATTCACTTTCCGTGTATCAACCTCTGAAATACATGAGAAACGAGCTGCCTCTGGATATGCAAGATGGACTCCAGGTGGTCTTTTCCAGTCTCCCGCCCTGCAATGGTGCCTCCTAGGAAGGTATGAAAGGAGGCAGAGGAATTTGGGGCTGCAGGATTTTTGGAGGCAGGACAGCTCCAGGACTAAGGGAAGCATGGAGAACCAACCTCAGGCCAGGGACTGCTTTCCAGAGCGACAAGGGCTCAGGCCCTCAGAGACTAGAGGGGATCAGTTTGCCAGTCCTAGGAGCTCCTGAGGACTGGTTTCCCAACCTCACTACCCTCTTCCCAAGCTGCAAGGGGCCCCATCTCCTGCAGAAAAACCTACGGAGACCCTGACTCCTGGCTTCTGTCCCTGCCCCGTGCTGCTCACAGGGCCCTCTTCCTGGGTGGTCCTGTGCCAGCTCACGTGCCCTACTTTGCTAAAAGCAACATGCCCTTGGTCTCCTTTGTGCTCCAATGCATTCTACTGCCCCATTCACAGACTCCATGTTTCTTTTTTTGAAAGACACTTTGGAGATCACCATCCTCCCCCCAAAGACAGAGGGGAAGGAGAGATGCAGAGCAATGTCAGGCATGCCTCCTTTCACATGGCCCCCTGTTGACCCATTGGACCCTCTTCTGAAACTCCCCATGGTCCCAAGTCCGTCCTACCTCTGGGAGGCAAGGCACTTGCTTAGCTGTGTTTCCATAAGAGCTCCAGGCAGCTGCCCCTCTGCCTGCCTCGCCTTCCCCGTGTACGTTCGTTGTGAAAATGGACTGTGGCTCAATGGAAGTTTGCTGAACACACAGTCCCAGGCCAGAGGCAAGTGGTCTCTGGAGATGTGACCCAGGGCTCTCCTCACCATAGCCTATATCATTTCCTCCAATTCACTCCCACCTACACCTGTCCTGTCATTTGGGTGGCTTCTAATTCTCTCCAGCCCCCCTTCCCCACCCCATGGCAGCTGCTTAAGTAACATCTACAAGATTTGATCTGGGGAGAATTATGGCGACTTGGGCAGTGGCACATCAGGCCTAGGGGAAGAAGTCAAACCAATCACTGGGCTAGGGAAAGAGCAAGAATATCAACTTAGGGACCTTTGCAAGGGGGTGTGGGCATTAACTCAAGACAAGATGCCAGAAAGAAGGCCTGAGACATGGAAATCGATAGGGAAGGGACAGACAGGACAGTAATACCAACCACAAGCAGAAATCAAGAGTTCAAGGTATCAGCTATTGATCTGGCTGAGTTGTCATCCCTATGGGGTGGGCACCAGAGGCCCAGATCAACTGCCATCAGGGAGATGACTGAGAAGTCCCTGGGCTCGACTCAGACCCAGAGTAGAACAGAGCTGGGTCCAAGACAGCGTGCTGGGCGGGTTGGTGAAGTAAATGTATGGGCCAAGATGAGAGTGTTGGTGACAGAGCAGAGGAATCACGGCAGAAATAAGACCACTTTTATGCAGACTTGTAAGTGCTTGAGATTCTCCCATTTAGGAGTCACAAGTTCAGCTGGGTTAAAAGGAATCTATCACTTTTCTCATTTAAAGCATAAATAGTAAGTGTATTGGTGGGGAATGGGGCAGGGCAAGTGACAGCATACCAACACTTCACTGTGAAGGTCTTTTAGACCCACTTTCCTTCCAAAAGGTGGGCTTGAAAAAGCATGTGGGCTTGGGGGAGGGCACCTGGAGTGGAAGGAAAAGATAGGGAAGTGAGTTTGCCAGAGCCACTCGGCGAGGACAGAAGGACCAAACACAGCTCCTCCAGCGTAGTGGTCACTTAACTCGACTTTATTGCCAGATAATCTTTCCTCAGGGAGCCCTTTGGATACCCACCCCTGAGCCCCTCTCCCCCAACCCTGGAGGAGGAGAGCCAAGGAAGGCTATCCCGGGGGCTGGGAAGAATCAAAGCTCAGGACTGGGGTCCCCAAGGAGCAGTCAGATAGGGCTGGGGCCAGGCGTCCTCTTCTTCCTCAGTTTCATTCTGTTTCTCCTGAGTTTCTTCATTCTTGGCATTTTGCCCCTTTTCCAGACTCGGGTGATCCAGATCCCCACGGCCAGGATTACCAAGAGCAAGAGGAGGAGCAACACCTTGGCCAGGAGGCAGAAGGCTGTTGAGGGGTTCTCAGAAGGGTATCTGGGATCTGGAACAGAAGAAGAGAGGAAAAGGGGGCTTAGCAGAGGCAGGCATGACTTCTAAGTGCTTGAAATTCTCCCATGTAGGAGCCACAGGTCACAAGACCCTGGAGGCAGGAGTCTCACATGAGATCAGGGGCTTTCTCCAGGGTTCTGGTACCTGCACAGAAGGAGCCAGCAGGGATAGGACGAGAACTGACATTGCTGACAGGGTTGCTGGCCCTGCAGGTGTAGGAGAGGGCACTGTCCCCAGGCCTCCAGGATGTGCTGAGGACAGGGCCTTCATGTACTGTCTCAGTGTTGTCCCCCCAGCAGAGCCAGCTGTAGGTCACATCCATGCCTGCCTTCTCCATGGAGCATGTCAGGGACATATCACAGGTGCGTTCCCCAGAGATCTCGAAGTTCACAGTGATTTGGGGTTCTGACAGCCTTCCTAGATGAGAGGAAACCCAAAAACATGCAGAACAATTGGATCTGTTTTCCTAAGCTCCTCAACCCTGGGGTGCTGGTGCCGCCCTCTGACAGCCCCTTCACCTAAACAACAAATAAGCAAAACAAACAAAAACCAGCCATCATAAAACCTGTGGTTCTGGGGTTCCCAGGGAAATTGCTAAGGTAGGCAGAGCTGCCTTTGCCATTTTCTGCCTTCTTCCCTCTCTCTTTTGTACCCAACCTTCCTCCAAACTCTGTTCTGCCTCCTTCTCCCAAATAATATTCTCCCCAAAAATATTATCATCCCCCCCAGGGGCATTTGTATTTTAATCAGTGTCTCTTCAAGATTCAAGGTAGAGTCAATATGACAGGCACTAAGAAGAAATTTGGGTTCAAGTAGAGAGAAGATACTGGTTAGTAGCCCTCAGATCAGGCAGGGGGATAAGAGGCTCAAGAATGGAGCTGGTGCTCATCCCAGAATGCATGGTCTTGCTGGGAGTAAAGGGCCCCTAGAGGGTCTGTACACAAAGCCAGCCCTGGGAACAGCCTTGGTGCCCGGTGCCTCCTTGCTCCAGGTGCCTCCACCTGCTGCCGCAGCTCAGAGACTGGGGTTGAGCCCCCTGGAGACAGTCTTCCTTCTAGTCCTAGCCCCTCAAACCACAACCCCAAGTCCTGAGACCCCCTACTCCATGGTGTGGGAAGCTCAGGAGAGCCCAAGAAAGCAGATTTATGGTTCCCAGCCCAAACTCACGGTAGACACGTAGATTGTAGTGCCTCGTGGCAAAGATCTGGGATGTCCCCAGGTTGACCTGAGCTTGGTAAAGCCCTGAGTCCTCCCAGCTCAGATTGCTGATGTGCAGGGAGTAGCTGGGCCTCAGGAAGCTCACTCGGCCCTGGTAATGTGGGTCGGTCACCGTGATGGTAGCGGGATGCCCCTCTTTCTCTGGCACCACAGTTGCAAGCCTCTTGCGGGAGGACCAGATGATGTCCTCGACCTCTTCATCGGACGGTATTTCCAGGGGGAGATAAGTGGATTCATGAAGGACAGCGACCACTTCCTCAGGATCCACATCATCTCCAGAGTCCCCTTTGGCTGCAGATATAGGAAGAAAAGAGATGGAACAGCCCAGCTGGCGTCTCTGGGCTGCTAAGCCCAGCAGTGGGGCTGTAGCTCTATCTCGCCCGAGCAGCTGCTGTGGCCCACATACTAAATCCGGTCCTCCAGCTGCCTCTTCAGGCTCTAGATTTCCCCTGCACCTGAGCTGAGCACCTACCAGGAGTTGACTCCCATCTGTCCCTTCACACTCCAAATTTTACCTTCTCCTTTGTCATCCTACGGCTGCTCCCCTTCCTTATCCCCAGGTGTCCTTGTCTTTTGGTCCTGCCCTAAAGCCACATCCTATTCCTTGTTACTCCAGAAGAGCTGACACATTGAGTACCAAAGAAAAGGTCTTGCTAGCCCTGCCCAGTGGAGCAGGAGAACAGAAAGGGAAGAAGGCAGTCCTGCGCAGGGGCTGGTGGTCTCACTCACCCTCCTGGAGCAGCAGGAGAAGGAACAGGCAAGGAAGGGCCCGCATGTCAACAGCCCTGGCCCCAGGAGAGGTGACTCGGTCGGCCCCCAGGGCTGTGAAGAAGACCCTGTTAGGAGACTCCTAGAGATAGTGCCTGCCTGGCAGGGCTAAGGAGAGGGAAATGACTCTCTCTCTAACCAGCAGCCCTCTAACTTCCTCCATCCTCACTAAGCCCCTCCCTGTCCGTGATGGACAGTCTCTCAGCCACTGACTCATGTTGCCCATCCACCAAACTCAGCTCAAATCCCACTTCCTAAATGAAGCTTTCCCAGCCCCCCATACATACCACATATCCTGAACTCTTAGAACACTCACTATCCTGTCATTTGGCTCCCAGCATAGTCTGCCCAGCTCCCTCTTGGCAGTTCCTATGTTGCTGTAATCATTTGATCTTATAAACATCTTATTATCCCCAGACAGATGCCACCTTTGATTTCCTCTGCATGTCCCACTGTTGCCGCCCCCATGCTAAACACCTGTCAGCACTCAGTGGATGTCTTTAGAATGGATGAATGAACGAAGTCTTTCTATTTAACGCTGGTTATGTTCCCATTTGAGAAACTATTCGGCAGGGGGACATTTTTTATCCTCTTTTAAAAAAGCAGTTTGGACAGGAGAGTTGATATAGGTTGTTGATATTATGAAAAGACTAAATCATTCCATAAGAATATGATGTTGATCAAAGCTATAGGAAATCAGATTCAGGAAGAAACTGCAGAGGATAGGATCAGGGTTAGAAAAAACTTTCTGATAGTCAGCTGTCCAGAATGTGATGGGTCGCCTTGGGAGGCAGTTTCTGTACCTTGGAATTCAAGCTAAGACCAGACAATCACTTGCTTGGATTGTCCAGTCTTAGCTTGCAAAATCTCTGGCATCAGATAGATTTTCAGACTGAAAAATCTTTAAGTTTGTTCTAATAATCATTTCTACGAGTCTGTGCCATGATGAGAAATTAAGAGTGGTGTCTCAAGACCAGGGTACAATGGAATCAGACATTCAGTTTCAGGCCCATACCAACATTTCATATCTTTTGGTTAGTGAATCAGCGCTGAATTAAATGTCTATGGAGCAGCTTCTATGGACCACATACTGTCCCTAGTGCTGCAGAACTAGCAATGACCAGGAATTTTAGAGAGTGACTTCATGGAGCTCAGCAGCTAACAACGGACATTAGACAAGTAACTACAAGTTTAATGAATCTTACAAAGGAAAAATTGAGAGCACCTACAACAAAGAGATCTGGCAAAGTTGGAGTCAGGAGGGTTGGGGAAAAGCTATCAAGGAGAGATGGTGTTTAAGGTGAGACCTCCAGGATGAGTAGGGTCTGCTAAGTGCAGAACAGAATGAAGTGAATAGTTCTTAAAGTTCAATTTTTGAGTACAGAGCCACAGGGATGGGGAATTTTTTTAAAAGGTAGATCAGGTTTCAGTCTGAGTAGGAAACATTTTGATATGAAAAATTTATTTAAACAAATAAAATTAGATCCAGCAACCCCACTACTGCCTGTACACCCAAAGGAAATGAGATCAGTATGTTGGAGAGGTATCTGCATTCCTATGCTCACCACAGCCTCATTCAAGACAGGGAATCGACCTACACGTCCAACCGTGGATGAATGGGTAAAGGAAATGTGGTACACACACACACGATGGAATACTATTCAACAGTAAAAAAAGAAGGAAATCCTGCCATTTGTAATGACATGGATGAACCTTGGAATGGAATGGATGAACCAGGAGGACATATCAAGTGAAATAAGCCAGGCACAGAAAGACAAATCCTGCATGATCTCGCTTTTTATATATGTGCAATTAAAAAAATCAAACTCAGAAGGACAGAGTTGAATGGTGGTTACCAGGGGCTGGATTGGGGAGATATTGATCAAAAAATGAAAAATTTCAGTTAGATAGGAGAAACAAGTTCAAGAGATCTATTATACAACATAATAATTATAGTTAATAACTATGTATCATGTTCTTAAAATTACTATGAGTAGATTTTAAGGGTTCTCCCCACAAAAAAATGATAAGTATATGAGGTAATACATGTGTTAATTAGTTCCATTTAGCTATTTTACAATCTATACATTTTTAAAAACAACACGTTGTACACCATTAATATATACACTTTTTGTGAATTCAAAAAATAAAAATAGGCTGGGCATGGCAGCTCACACCTGTGATCCTAGCACTTTGGGAGGCTGAGGTGGAAGGATCACTTGAGGCCAGGAGTTCAAGACCAGCCTGAGCAAGAGTGAGACCCCATGTCTACAAAAAATAGAAAAATTATCCAGGTGTGGTGGCATGTACCTGTAGTCCCAGCTACTTGGGAGGCTGAGGCAGGAGGATCGCTCAAGCCCAGGAGTTTGAGGTTGCAGTGAGCTATGGTGATGTCACTACACTCTAGCCCGGGAGACAGAGACTCTAGCCTGGGACCCTGTCTCAAAAAAATAATAATAAAAATAAAAAATGATAAAAGCAGGGAAAAAAAAATAAAACAAGGTCATGTGCGTAACGTTCAGAACTTAAAGGGTAGGTATATCAGTTAGGTTCCCTGAGCGGCAGATGCTGGAGTTAGGAGTAAAAGGTTTAATAGAGGGGTGATGCCTGTGAAAGACAAAAGGAGGAGGCAGGATTGAGACAGAAGAGCCTCAGCTGGCCATGTAAATATCACAGTCTCAGCTGACTCAGCAGGGACATCCGGTACAAAGGTTGCCCTTTCGAAGAGGCCTGTGTTGGACAGGCGTGTCCAGGCAGCAGGACCCTGTCTGTGCTAGAATGTCCAGGCGCCAGGACCCTGTCCGTGCTAGAATGTCCAGGCGCCAGGACCCTGTCCATTCTAGAATTCCCAGGTGTCAAGACTCTGTCCGTGCTAGAATGTCCAGGCACCAGGACCCTGTCCATGCTAGAATGTCCAGGTGCCAGGACCCAGACTCTGCACAGCCTGGGCAGGGGCTGCCCAGGAAGAGTGTGGATTCTGAAGGTGCTGCGGCTGGAGCTGTCAGGTAACTGTACTCCTCGCAGGCAAAGACGAGTGTTCTCTTCAAGGGAGAACCCAGGATCACCTTCGTGAATGCTACAGTGAGTTTGCTGATGGCCAGAAGGTAACTGTGCTCAGATTTGTTAAACCTGTCTCCATAAATAGGCATAAACAGCCCATTATGCCAATTGAAGAGAGGGAAATAATTTCCACCCCCAGTCCTCACTAAGCTCTCTCAGTCCAGTGTGGAGAAAGTGGCTTCTCAGAGCCTGATTTTCAAGTCTAATTTCCATTCTTGCTCATGGACTGTGATTCAAATGCAACTTCATTTCTGTCTCTCACTACCCCTCTAAGCTTACTCAGTGGGGTAATCTTCCCTGCCCCAGATGAGAACTCTGGCCCTGGTGTCTTGTCTCAGTTCACAAATGAGTACTTCCTGTCCTATGTAATATACAATATTCCAGTACTACTTTTTAATCAAATAATCCCCCCTTCTGGCCCCATTCCAGGCAGGAAGCTGGCAGTCAGGGAGGGAAAGGGCTCTCTGCTCTCCGCACATGCTCAGCTTACCTCTCCCTCCCTGCTCCCCTCGCCCCTCAACTCACTTCCCCCCACTCATGTTTCCCCCTCCATAAGGATGGGGAGGTGGGGAGGTGACAAAACTGTTCTTACCTGGCCGAGTGGCTTTGCACGCCATGGGCCCGGCAGATGGTTAAGCTGAACTATTTTCTGTTGAGCGGCAGTTTTGCTGGTTAAGAGTTTTCTCTTATTCCCTCTTTCCTACCCTTGACCTGGGGTGGATGCATCTCTATTCTGGGTGGTCCTTTGCAAGTCCTTCATCGGCCTCTGGACATCTGGCCACACATCTCAGTGCCTCCCCTCCCCCTCCCCAATCCCCCTGTTGTTGTACAACACCCAGGACCACCTAGCAGGCTGTCTTGTGAGTAGCCCTCACTGCCCACTGTAGACATTCCTTGCCCTGACAGATTCCAGGATCTATAACACGGCAGTGTGCTCCTGTCTTCCTAATGGGAGCCTATAATCCGTTTTAACTTTCCCAGATCTGTCTTAGGCTCCCGTCCCCTCTAATTCTCATTTGCAGGGCACACATTCCAAAGTTCCCCAAGTCCTCTCCGTGAGATCTCCCTCACCTGGCTTGTGGTCAGAGGTAACATCACCTATCCTTTGGGGAAGAGGTGGGACTCACAGTAAAGTAACAGGTATTTCCAAAGAAGTCGCTTTCCCAATCTCCCTTTGTCAACCCTCCACCCATGGATGAGGGGGTTCCAAGAGTAGCAGCACAGGGTCTCCTTAATTCGCACTGTAAATTCCACAAGGGGAGATCTCCCTCACACTGCCTTTGATCTCCTGAAACCTGTCACACCGTCAGCTCGGTGTAACTGAGGCAGGAGAAGATCCATTCTGACATCTTGCTGCTGCAGACACTTAGGGCTCCCTGTAGCACAGCCTGTTCACCCACCTGACTTCTACACTGCTATCATGGGCAGTTTCATGACACGGTCCCCCCTGAAATTTGCAGCCTGGGTAGTCTCTGCTTTTCTGCTTCCAGGTTTTCTCTGCAATAGTGCAAGCCCACTCAACCCGAGAGCAGGTGCAGCTGGGAAGTATGGGCAGGGGTGTGCATGCACCAGCCAATGGAGTTCTGAGTTCGTAGATTGTGGATAAATATTTCAGTCTCCTGCCCTGTTCCACGGGACAATTCTGAGGCATGTTCTCTGTGGTTCTCCGGAGGGATTGGGCCCCAGTTGTACACAGCAGTAATCAGCTACTAACACACCCTTTTTTGGCTTTTCTCCCTTTCCTGTCTCATTTTCCTCATTCTTTCTTCTTGGATCATATCCCAGAAAGACTTCCTCCACCCACGTTCTTATCAAAGGGTGTGCTTTGGAGGGAGACCAAACTAAGACGTTATTGTATATGAGAAAGTGATTGCACCAGTAAAATTTAGATCTGCTCTCTCTTCTGCCTAGGTCATTAGGAGCATATAAGCCAATGAGAAATAAGAC